AAAATGTGTTCTCCAGTGGTTTGTGTTGAGGATAGAGGTTGTAAAACCGGTAGAATATTTACCAAGAACTCTCTTTGAAGATGTGGTGTTCATTTCCATTTCCCAGGCTTGAGGGCTCTGCATGAGGGGAGCCTTGCTCACATATGGCAGAATTCATTTCTGAGGTTTTATTGCCTGGAAAATAATGCTGTGTTATGTTTTTATGGAGGGAGAGTGTCAGCTAGTGGCCAGCCAGTGCAGCATATGTCCAAGCCATTTGGATTTGTTAATGGAGCTCCTTCATAAGCTGCCCATGTCCACCCCGTTCTTCTATCCCTCCTGTCCCCTTTTCTTAATGCATGCTGTTTTCTTCTTAACTTACACTTAAAGCCAAGCTCCAATGCCTTCCATAATTATTAACTTTCCTGAGTTTGTCATGAAAATGCAGCTGTCATGTAGAATGTATTACCACAGGCAGAACTATCCTGGGCACTCAAGAGCATTTTATTAGAGGTAGTTTTGAAACATAAAATTACTTTCAATTGTGATATAATATCTCATGTATATTCAGGAAAAAGAGTATAAAATACCAGGACAAATTTCTCTTCTATGTTGCATAATCTATATTTCTACATAGAGTCAAAGAACAGCTCCCATTTTCTAGTGCTTTACTGTACACAAAGCCTTTTCACATCTGACAGCTGTCAGTCCTCCACGCAGCTCTGGGAGCAATGTTTGTCCCTGTTTGATGGATGAGGAAACTGATGATCAGGCATTTTCTGGCTAACCCAAAATCACCACTTAAAGGGACTCAGAATTTGGATTTAAACCAGGGGTGTTTGACTGCACACCCAGAACGTTTTCCACTCCTTTGCAGCTATCACAGGGCCTTTTTGTTGTATGTATGTTTTAATGCTAAATGCATTTATTGTAAGTGTCATGTTTTATAAGCACTGGGAACCATTGCGTCAACCCCTAATTTGGAGTTAATGAAGGTGCCAAGTCACAGTGCCTTAGTGGGAACGTCAACAAAGAGGCTGGATGTGCCAAATAGGGAGATGAGAGATGCCAGAACTTTCCTTGACTCTGAAAAGTCAGTTTATTTGTGTGTATCTAGCTTCTTGTTAAATATGAGAATAACCCTGATGTCAAATATTGCTATGACATAGGTCCTTTAAGTGGATTTCAAGGTGTCTTGGAGCTCATCAAGAGATGAACTCCTAGGGCCGGCCCGGTGGCGCACTGCTACAGTGTGTGAGCGTGGTGCTCCCGCCGAGGGTTCGGATCCCACATACAGACCGGTTCCCGCTCACTGGCTGAGTGAGGTGTGGGTGCAACACTGAGGGCTGCGATCCCGTTGCCGGTCCCGGTCTGGTACGGGCGCGACATTGAGGGTTGCAATCCGTTGCCAGACACGAAAAAAAAAGACAAAAAGGAAAAAAAAAAGAGAGATGAACTCCTCAAGTTCTGAAAAGACCTCAATAGAAAATGCAATCATAGGGTCCCATAACGAAGTTGTGCAAGGTTAATAATTACGTGTAAATATTTTACCCATAAATCCTGTCCATCCCATAGAATGTTTCTGAGAGATGAACTCCTCAAGTTCTGAAAAGACCTCAATAGAAAATGCAATCATAGGGTCCCATAACGAAGTTGTGCGAGGTTAATAATTACGTGTAAATATTTTACCCATAAATCCTGTCCATCCCATAGAATGTTTCTACTGATCATTAACTGTAGACATTTCTGAGACTTAGAAGAATGCAATGTAATCACGTTCTGAAGAAAGCAACAGTATTTATGTAGAAGAGTAGTTGGTGGGGCTAAGCTGGAAACACTGAATGGATTCTACTTTGGATGGAGTCATGTAATCCCATTATATGATCCCATTCATGCCAGCATGGTCCTGGTAGAGAGGCAAAGAGCAAGGTACATTTCCAAAGCTTTTCTTCCTAAGAGGCTTATTTCTACCTATAGGAAATACACGTGTATGTGGGGATTATGACAGAGAGAGAGAGAGAAACACCTCAAGCAAAGGGTCACTGAGATGATATCCAGCCAGCAGTCAGCAGAGTGAGCTGTACCCTGTCTGGACTTAGCAAGCCTTAGAAGGGGGCTGAGTGAGGAGACGAGACAGTGAGGCAGAAACAAAAGTTTCTTTTGTTCTCCCTGTGCTACTCCTGAATTTTAAAAGTAAAACAAGCATTCTGCTAGCAGAAGAGGGAACGTGTTTTCCCTGCCAGGAGCCTGTGGCTCCCTTCGGTAGCTGATGTGCTGTCCCCTGCCTCTACTGGCTATCCCGGGCCTTGGGACAAGATGTAGGGCAACTCTGGACCCTGCAGACCCAAGAAAAACACTAGGGCAACAGGGGAAGGGAGACTCTTGGTAGTTCTTCTCTCAGGTAGGTGCTGAGAATCATGCAGGGCCGAGGTTCTTTCTGGAAATGGAATCTTCTTCAGGAGAACCGGACATCTCCCTGAAAGGGAACAAGGGGCACTTGAAGCTCTTCCTCCTCAGGCCTTGCAGAGTCCTGACATCACTCTAAATGCTCCCACTGTAGACTTTCAGTACAGTTCCATGGGGTTTTGGCGGGCGAGAACCAGGTAAAGTCAGCCGTGCTGTCCTCCTCCTCTTTCCAGAGGATTCGAAGGTTGTCGGTTTGGCAAGTGCTGTCCACGAAGAGAGCAAGCATGACTCCATCCACCTTAGATCCAGGTGCATGTGCATCTGGGATGGAGAATGGCAGGCCCTGTGGGAAAGAGGCCCCCTGCCAAGCTTTGAGGTGCCCAGTGATGATGCAGGTGTCACCCGTCACAAAGTGTCACCATTCCCCACCCCCAGGAACGTTCCAGGGAGACAGGGGGTAGCAGGTATCAGTCCTCTTTGTAGAAGAGAATACAGTGCTCAGGCCTGTGTCTCCAGAGATCAGTGTGTCTGCTGCAGTCGTGTGTGGGGCCTAGCACGGTGTGGCAGACGGGCTCCTCCAGAGAGGCAGACCTATAGGATATGTTAATAGTTTAAGTTTTATTTTAAGAAATTGACTCATGCAATTGTAGGGGACTGGCAAGTCTGAGATCTGTAGGGCAGGCCAGTGGCTGGGAACACAGGCAGAATTTCTACGTTGCAGTCTTGAGGCAAAATTTCTTCTCTGGGAAACCTGTTTTTGCTCTTAAGGCCTCCAACTGATTGGACAAGCCTCATCCACATTATCCAGGGTAATCTCCTTTAGCTACAGCTTCACCAATTGTAGATGTTAATCGTCTCTACAAAATACTTTCTATAGCAGCACCTGAGTTAGCATTTGGTTAAGTCGCTGGGTGCTATAATCTGGCCACGTTAGCAAGGAAACTGACCACCACACCTGACACTACCAGGGCCCGTAGACCGGTCAGGGGCTAGAGGAGCCATTCCAGTGTTCAAGTTTCCATCACACCCAGAGGATCAGAGGCGGCTGTAGTGCAGACCGAGCCCTGGGTCCCATCCACAGGCACTGCCAGCTCACCAGTGCTCTTCGCCCATGCCAGGTCCAGCTCCATAAAAAGGAACGTGGCTGTGCATTCACTCTGCTTCACTCTGGAGTCCTTGAGCAGGCTGCTGGTTGTGCCAGCCCTGTCTGAGGTATGGGGCACGGAAGTAAGGATCATGAGATGTGGGTCCTGCATGGAGGGGCTCAGGGCAGAGATGCTGCGGAGCTGGACATGGCTAACCTCCCCGTGCAGAACACCAGCAGGACACAGCTCCCGAACACTCTGCCTTCCTGCATCCTTCCAGAACGGAAGCTCCAGGCCAGGGGGAGTTAGAGGCAGGGAGTTAGCCTGTCTCCTGGCCCCCGACCTAGTAGCTTCTAACTGTCCCTGCTCTGAGCTTATGTGTAGCACAGTGGGCTTTCCTGTGGCACACACGCCTCTTAAAGTCAAGTCCAAGGGGAATTTACATAAGTCCAAGTTTGGATTTTGGCTGGAACATGTGGGCTGTTAGCCCCTGCTGCTCTTTTGCAATTGTCTGCATGGGAGAAGTGCCCTTGCGACAGCTTCAGGATTGCCAGAACACAACCCACCTCCTTCCGCGTAGAATGCCGTTCTTGGAATGGCCCCCTCCGTCTGTCCCTATCCATTCACTACCTGTGGAGGAAAAGGCAAAGTGCTTTGGGAGGAGGGAGGGACTTAGTTCCCAACCAAATAGAGGAATTCTACAAAACCTCAGCTCTAACGTGCTTACAAGCTGCTGAAATGAAATACAAGTGGTGAAATGA